TTAAGATTCAAAAGGCTTCCTGATGCGTTAGATTACTGGCTCTGATTCTGCCAAATCTTCTAGCCGTTGTTCCATGGCTGCCATGCCGCTTCTTCAAACCATGGTCATCAGCCTCTGAATTTTGTTTCTGGACCCTATAGTCTATCTTGGGTTCCATTTAAAGTGGCCACACATCCGAGGATGCAGGGTGGAAACGACAGGTTAACCAGACATAAACTGGTTCATCCCAAAAACCTGTATCTTACCAAGACCTAGGGGTTGTGGGAAATGATGGCTTTCTTTATGAAACAAAAATATGCTGCCAATAAAGATGGTGAGTTGGGGACTTATGTGGAGAGCCTCTTTTTCTTTAATGGTATGATTAAAATCAGGAAACTGCATTTCATGTTTTTCTTCTTTTTGTATTTTCTTGTGACAGAGTCTCATGTAGTCCAGGCTGGCCTCAAAAAAAAAGTGTGTAGCCAAAGATGATCTTGAACTCCTGAGTCCCCTTCCTCTGCATCATGAGTACTGGGATTCTAGGCCTGCACTACCCTACCCAATCTATCAGGCTCTCTTTTCCCCTGGTCAGGAGCTAAAAATGGTAGGATGGGCATAGAAGTGAAAGACATGATCTCTGTGTATAAGTCCATGGGTGGCAGCTGCCTCATATACGCCCCAGGAAGTGATGTATGGTTCTAAACCAACAGGAAGTGATGTATGGTTCTAAACCATGATGTATGGTTCTAAACCAAGTGATGTATGGTTCTAAACCAACAGGAAGTGATGTATGGTTCTAAACCAACAGGAAGTGATGTATGGTTCTAAACCAATAGGAATTACACAGAGGCTTTTAGCTTGGAGTATGGGACAACTGCTCCTAGGTGTGAGTGAGAGAAGGGAAGACAGTTGGGAAAGAGGAGACACTATTGGTGTCCACTCATGAGACCACAGAGGTGAAACGATGAAGGGCTGAGAGAATAAGGAAGGGAGCAGTATGGGAAGGAGCTTCCTCATCCTTGGCTGTGTTGTGGCAGGTGGGTTTGCATGTGTATGTTGCTGCTTTTGAAACACATGAGTTCAGCTTCACTGAAAATGAGATTTTAAAGCCAGGTGTTCAAAGCCAGCCCCTGTCTCAGAGAGAGAGAGAGAGGACAGAGAGAGACAGAGACAGAGAGACAGAGACACATACACAGAGAGAGACAGAGATACATAAGAGAGAGATAGAGAGAGAGAGAGAGAGAGAGAGAGAGAGAGAGAGAGAGAGAGAGAGAGAGAGAGATTTAGGATCTGCATAAAGGCAGACCATTTAATCCATATAAATAGAGTTGAATTCTCATTTAGGGTCTTAAATACTAGAACAGGAATTCTTCAGTAGAGTCCTGTGGTCATTCATAACCACAGATAATCTCATCATCCCAGGGCAGATGACCTTGTGTGCTGTGGTGAGGTGAGGTCTAGCAATTAGGAAGATGCAGAGTGAAGATGGCAGGGGCCTTTGAGGCTCTGGGGGAAGGCCGGATGTAGTGCACTGCAGGGCCGAGTGCACTTGTGGACAGACCTGGGCTTCCAGCCTTGGTCTTTGGGTCCCACTGGTGCAGTTTTGCTGTGTTTGTGCCTCCCATGCTACTCCCAGGGTCTTTCTTCTTATATTTACTTTGTTTTTTTTCGTTTGTTTGTTTGTTTTGTTTTGTTATTTTGGTTTTTCTAGACCTTTGTTTTGGAACCTGTCCTGGAATTTGCTCTGGAGACCAGGATGGCCTGGAACTCACAAAGATCCGCCTGCCTCTGCCTCCCAAGTGCTGGGATTAAAGGCTTTCACCACCAACATCCGGCTTACTTTGTATTTTTAATTGTTTTTTTTTCCATTTTATCATTTTGTATCAGTTTTTGAAATTTACTTACCTTTTAAACTTTTTATTAAAAATTTAAGCAGACCTACATTAATCCTTGAAATCTGGGGCTCAAACTGCCATTTATAACTTTCCCACCATGTCAAAATAGATGTGATTGCCAACATGCAAAACATCTGTAAGAGTGTGACCCAAGACCATCTTGCGTGCTGCACAATGGCCATCTAGTCACAGTGGATTAATTCATACTCCCACATACACCCTGATCTCATGCATTCTATCCTCAGAAACTAAATCTTAGAATTCTCATTTTTTAGTAACTTCAGCCTGAGCAGAAGTCATGAACTTAAAAGGCCTAGGGAAGAAACTTTTTCTTCTAGAGGTCAGATGACAGCAAAGAGGGAGGGAGGGAGAGAGGGAGGGAGGGAGGGAGGGAGAGAGAGGTATATTTGGGTAGAAGGCATGATTTGTTTGGGGCAGGTAGTATAAATATGTCAGTCATCTTTGCTCTGGCCTGTTTCCACAGGATTCTGCCATCTCAATTATGTGGCACTATTCATAGGGCATATGACTGTGACTGTATAGAAGAATCAGAGCACAGCCTGTTCCTAATGCCAGACAATTGGCTTACAGCATCTGTTGCATTCTGAGTTGGCCTGGAGATAAAAAGATGTCAGAGTGTAGCCTAGACACTGATGGTTCTTCCCAACATCCAATCAACTGAAGGGAAAAGCAAGGAAAAGCAAAAATAAACCTTGACTCCAAATCACCAGCAGCAGATAAAGTAACAAATAGACAAAGAAAATTTCGAAAAGTGCCAGGTGGGCACAGTCTTTAGAAACCTTTCATCTTACATATATCAAATTCCTTATCCAATGAACAACATGCCCGTCTCACTCCTGCCCCCAGCTGCCATCTACTTTCTGCCTCTGTGGTCACATGTGACTACCTTAGCTACTTCCTGTGAGCAGAACCACACAGTATTTGTCTTTCTGCAGAGAAGCTGTGTTCACTTAGCACAGTGTCCTCAAGATTAGGACAGTGTCCCATGTTGTCAGTATTTCATTTCTTTTAAAGGATGAATATTCTACACAAAATGTTGGACAACCAAGTTGGTATCAGAATTCTCCAAAGCTACAGTCCAAATCACCAAATAGAAGCGAGGTCTATAAACTTGTAAATATGCAAGGGGAATAAAATTATTTATATATATAACATAAAGGTATGTTTATAATCAGAAGTAGTATGTTAAATAACAGAAATAAATATAATTGGTTCTCTAAATATAAAGACATTATTCTAATGAGACAATAGGCAATCTTTACCTCAAAGAACTCTAAAACCACAGTAAATATGAACATCTTTCCTAAGAAGTAACCTTGTGAGGAAACTGATCAGTTGTCACAAATCAAAATGACAGACACAGGAACAGAAGAGTCACAATTGGAAACTAGTCACAACAAATAGCAAAGGGCACTGTTGATCACTGGAGGCACTGTCCTATTGCCTTCCCTTAGGGTGGGGCATGGGATGTCGACTATCACTTCAGAAACCAGAAAATATTAAGCACCTGACAAAAGTAACAAAAGCAACAAAATCAAGTGGTGTGAGGAGGGAAGAAGAGGAGAGGAGGGAAGGACATTTAGGTTCACTTCTGTTTCTGTCTTCCCCCACCCTGCTCTCTTCAAACAAAACTAAAAGCAGTTGGTAGAGGGAAACTCTTCTGCTGCCATTTTGAATGCCACTGAGATCTAACCATCCTCCCTGTATGTAAGGAGGGGTCGAGGGGGGGGGGGACAATGGATGACTTGATTTCTTCTTTGCGATTTTCATGGGTTTTGAAATTTTTTAAATGAGCTCATATTTTTATAAGATCAATAAAATCGTTGCTGTTGATTTATTGAACACCAGTAGCATCTTCATTATTCCAATTGCCTCTTTGTGCTTTCTTAATTTCAGAGCTGACAAATACCAAATGGGTCTTCATAACTCGGCCCTAGAGTTTTGGCAGTTGACTGTTGAGGAGTCAGCGACAAGGGCTGTGGGACCCACTGCTCTTCTAGCAGGATCTTTTGCCTTTTTGTTGAGCTGGAAAACGAAGCAGGGGCTGGTGACAGTGAAGGGCACTAAGATGTGATGTAGCTGGCCAGCAAGTGTCATACAGTTACCATGGCACAGATGCCTGAGCCTATCCTGCAGCCAGTGCCATCACCTTGGATGCTTGGAGTCCCTTCCAAACTCTGCCCTTGGCTGCCATCCACTCCTCATGTCCTCCACCTTTGCCCATGCAGTGTCCTTGGGAAGAGCTGGGCCACCACTTTGTGGAGCTTTCTCTTGCCCTGGGCTTAGCTTAGCCTCTATGCTCTGTGGCTCACACCAGGGTCGACTTCTATGGTTGGGCTGTGCACATTTACAGCCACACATAGTCACACTTCTTAGGAGGCAGACTCAGGGGGATTGGAATCCTGTTTAGGAAGTGCAATGTCAGGCTCTCCGAAGCACGGACTCTGTGGTTCTCTGGTGGACTTGACTGGGATGGCGAGACCACTCAGATGGCCTCTGCTTTCCTCTCCCATCAACTCTTGCCTCTATGGTTTGTTTCTTAAAGTTGGGGGCCACTCTGGACTCCTGCTACCTTTCTTCTGGTGCAAGAGAGAGGAGCTGTTGCTTTGGCCTTGAACACCACCCCATCCCACTCCCCAACCCTCCTACCCCTACCCCCTCCCAGCATCCCCACGCTGGAGCCTCTCCTCAAGGTGAGCAGTGCTTATACTTGGAGCAGCACGCTGCTGGCCCTCAGGCTGGTACCGCGGGAAGTAGCCTTCAGCCAGAGTTCCTGGTGTGGCTTGCAACAAGAGATGGGAATTGAAAAAAAAAAAAAAAGCTTCGTGACAAAACAGAGTGTCCATGGGCATGATCCATGTTTGTGTGTGTACACGAGGAGGAGGAAATAAGTGGTCATCCATGGGTTTCTCTGCTCTGCAGCGTTTCTCAGATCTTCTGCAGCGAACACTTCCAGAGATGCTAGACGGCCCTGTTCAATCCACCACACCGAGCAGTACAGGAAGACCAAGAGTGTTTGCTTGTGTGCCCCCACCCCCATTCTCACGTCTTCCATGTCTGAGATGCTTGCTTGTCTCATTCACCTTCCTGTCCTTTCCTCATCAGGTGACTGGGTGGCTGGAATCCCTTCGCACATCCTCAACAGCTCTCCGTCAGACCGGCAGATTAACCAGCTGGCCCAGAAGCTAGGACCCGAGTGGGAGCCCATGGTGCTGTCTCTGGGACTGTCCCAGACTGACATCTACCGCTGCAAGGCCAACCATCCCCACAACGTGCAGTCACAGGTGGTGGAAGCATTTGTCCGCTGGCGCCAGCGCTATGGGAAGCAGGCCACCTTCCTAAGTTTGCACAAGGGCCTCCAGGCTGTGGAAGCAGACCCCTCGCTGCTCCAGCACATGCTGGAGTGATCCTACCCCTGCCACTTGTTGGGTCGTGGGCCCCCAAGTCACACAGGCTGAACCGGACTTTCACTCAGCAAGTGGCTTTGTTCTGGGTTTGTTTTTGTTTTTTGTTTTTTTCCTTTTCGGTGAGCCTTAGGTGGAAGGAGAACATCTGGATTGTCCTGGCTCGATAATCCAATGACTTTAATTGCTTGAAGATTGCATTGTAGTAACTGCAGTTTTGAACTGTGTGGTTACCTTTTAACAGAAGTCCAGAAGAAAACAAGAGACCATGCTACCACATTGCACACAGATGTCCTACATACAAAGTCTTTACATTGCCTGGAAACTGGACTGTGGACTTAGTGCTTCATAATGAGGATGATAATAAAAAGTGAATTATGTTATAAGATGTGCCTCTTTCATGAGAAAGTATGCCCTCCCCCTTCTTCTGTTGCACAGACAGAGGGTATAAAACTGTGGGAGTGGAACAAGTTTGGTAGTAGCTGTGAAATAGTGGGAATGAGTAGCTCTTCAGGCGGGATGAATGGCTTAAGTGTAAGACAGCAAAGCTGCTGCAGAAGCCAGGAAGGGAACTCAAGCCCTTCATCCTAACAGATTGCATAAGAAATCTCTGTCCATTTATTAAAGGTATTTGGGTCTGAGACAAAGGGGCCTCAGTGTTACCCTTGAGGCCTGAATGCCTGAAAGTGTTGGGTTCCTGGAGGGTAGGGGGGTGTCATGGGTTGTCCTGCCTTTCATTGAGAGCACAGTGTTAGTCAGACAGGTGTACAATTGTAATCCCAGCTCTTAATTGTCTGAGGCAGGATGATCACTTCAAGGCCCAGCCTGGGCTATGACTACATAGCATTCCAGGTCAGCTTCAGTTATCACCAAGATCCTGTCTCAAAGCAAATAAATAAAAATTTACCATGCAGGGTTTCTAGAATGCTCCTTTTCAGGGCTTGTGCGTTCTTGTCTGGGCCTCTCAGCAGCCCCTGTGAAGCACGTACGCAAGCGTGGTTCGCCCCTCCTTTAGATGGGGCAGGACCTGTGGAAGCTAACTAAGCTAGAATGTGGTTTGCTTCTTCATGAATGAACTAGAAGCAGGCAGGATGCTTTCAAAGAAAGACACAAAGGCTTCCATAGGGGCTGTGGATGCCACTCAGCTGGTAGGGTAGGATGTTTGTCCAGCATGCTCAAAGTCCTAAATTCCATCCCAGTACCTCATTAATTCAGTGTGATGGGCAAACCCATGATCTCAGCCCTCCAGAAGGTGGAGGCAGGAGGATCAGAAGTTCAATGTCATCCTCGTCTACATAGTGAATTCAAGTTCAGCTTAAGCTACATGTAAAGGGGAGGAGAAGGGAATATGTTAAAGAGGTTAGGTAGATGTTTCCTTTGTCCTTCACAGTGACTGGAGAGCACAGTTTTTTAAATCTATAGAATTTTCAAGGGAACAAAAGTAGACTGCTTCTCTCCCTCCGCCTAAGGATGAACCAATAAAGATGTGGAGGTGGGTGAAAATGAAACATGCTCAGAAAGGTGGCAGTGGTGTGGTGACATCCTTTCAGACATCTGGTACCCTCTCTCCCTTTACCAAGAAGACCAACTGTTCCACAGTTCACCATTCAGTAGATACAATCCCCAAAACATTGTGTACTGGCCACACCCACTCTGATTTTCCATCCTGTGGTCTAGTCAATACTTCGTTATTTTATAAAATCCCTATTTTTGGCCATGCCACTGTACCCACTGATAGACTGCTCATCAATAGAGTCTTTAATAAACTACTTATCATTTTGAACATTGTTCTTACTACTTTGCCATTTCCCTCTGGGAGTCCCAATAGTGAGTCACTTTGGCTGTTGTTCTTCACATTCAGTCTTGCTTATGGCTGAGTGAGCAGGGCTAGGTCTGCTGCAGCTAGCTGGTGTAGGCCTGATGACTAGCTGCAATCCCCTCCTACCCTTTGTAATGGGTCTGTCCCGCCCAGGGACACTTCTCTGCTGTCAATAATGAGGCTGGGAAGGGCTGATTGTGGAGGAAGTCATTAGAGCTCTGGCTTACTGCCCTTAGTAAGCAGGGTGATGCCACTACCAAATGATGAGGACCACTCGTTGCCCCTGCTCACTTCCTACAGAAGCTCTTCCGAGTAGAGCCAGGCAGCCACATCACTGCCTGTCTTTACCTCTGCAGGGTGATGCTAGATCTCATCTGTCCACTCCCCAGGAGGCTAGAAGGAACCCACAAGGAATCCATGTGGATTTAGAGACCCTTCTGCCCCAGAGAAAATTCTGCACGAGCACAGTGGGACAGCAGGACATTTGAGACACAAAAAGCAGCAAAGTGATGTCCTATCTCTCTGTGTATCTCTGTATCTCTGTATCTCTGTATCTCTCTCTCTCTCTCTCTCTCTCTCTCTCTGTGTGTGTGTGTGTGTGTGTGTGTGTGTGTGTGTGTGTGTGTCTATAAGGCAGAGCATGTGTGTACATGAGTGTGTCTTGTAACATTTTAAAACTCATAACTTATATTAAATTTTCTCAGTGAACATAAAGTACATGTCTGTTGTGTCATTTTGGAAAACTAGCAATGAATAAAAAGAGGAAAAATCTTCCCCGGTCACCATCACAGCCTGAATGTTCCTCATGGGCAGGGGTGTGACTGTCCTGTAAAGCCCTTTAACACTTGGCTTCCTCCATTTAACACACACCCATTGTTCTAATACCATTAAGGATTTTACAACATCCTTTGCTCTTAGAGCACACTTGTAAGTGCTATAGTTTTTGCACCACCTTTGAAGAGATTAAAGGCACTTAGCCACTAAGTATACCAATACCATCAGGACATTAATTGCTTTGCAGTTCTCCCTTCCCCCACGCCCCACACCATGTTACAATTGGAATTGTTCACTGCCCCCACTGTGCACTTTATATCGCCCAAAAGCAAAGCTTAGCATGCCTGGACTCTTTGTTCTTTTCCTTTGCCCCAAGATGTCTTCTTCACTGCACTGTATCTAGTCACCTGTGTTCTGTGTTCCTTTTCTGCAGGAGGATGTTGGGGGTCGGGGGAAACGACACAGTAAACTTGCATTCCCTGTTGATCAGAATTTGGTGGTATCCTTCAAAGATTGGTAGACCTGTGAGTGGCTCCAATTCCACCCTTTTCAGTTGTGTTCTCATTTTCCAGTGTATGCAAAGCCACCATTGTTAACCATGTCAATTTTAGATGAATCTTTACGTTGTCTTCATGCTTTCCCTATAACAAACAATGAAGGGGAGTCCCCATTGTGAAGTCTTCATTCCCCAGAGGGCACCAGGAACTGTGTCTATTTTGTTTAGCTTTAAATGTAGTCTAATGTGTTGTAAGTTAGTTCTTTATCTATTGCAAACCATCTCACATGCATAGGCTTAGGAAAGCAAATGTACCAGCCTGAAACCTGGCTCACAAAATTCTGTGAGCCAGGGGGATGTTGCTCTCTGGGCCAACTCTGCTGACTTCACCTGGGTTCATTAGTGCTTCCGTGTTCAGCTGCTGGACTGACTGACACTGGGAGACACAGGACAGCCTCACTCAGGTGTCAGGCTTCACCAGATAACCAATGCCTACCCCTCTTCACTTGATGCCAGCAAGAGTCATACAACGAGAAGGTAAGCCCACGTTATCCACACCTGCCTTTCTTCTGCTAACATTCTGTTGCCTAAAGCCAGTCACATGACCAGTTCAGAGCCAATGTGATCAGAAGACATGGAGCAAGGAGGAGAATAACTTGGTCCCCTGCATGCAATCTACCAAGCCAGTATTCTAAAGCTGAAATTTCTGGGTCCTCTGGAAACACCCACACCGTCCTCCAGTGTCAGACCCAGTTCCTTCTGCTACTGCCTTACCTGCTCAGTCTCCACAGAGACACTTGACCTCTGGGAATAGAGCCATTCTGACTCTTAGAATAAACCCAGAAGGCAGTTTCTGGGCTTAAAGTTACACAAAGTGTCAAAATAAAACACCAACCAAATTAAAAAAACAAAACAAACAAACAAACAAAAAAACTGACTTTGAAAAACTATTGTAGACAAGAGAAATTGTTCGTTGGAAGAACACTTGCCCAGCATGCACAAGGCTCTAGATTTAATACTCTGTACCATATTGTGGGTGGGGGAGCCTCTCTTCTCTTTGGCAGCATATAGGAGATCTGTTTTTCTATGTTACTTGGCCCCACTAGGCTTCTGTGACCCACTGAAAATGGATGTTGGAATATGCTCACTCTACACTCCAACCATCCTGAGATAGCAGGAAGACTTCCTTATCTCTGTTGCTGGGGTGTCCCGCGCGCTGTATTTTCTCGGCCGGCAAGAAATACACGCAGGACACTCGGATCCTTCTGCAGACAAGCTTTAATGCATCTTGAGACCAGAGCGGAGACACTGAACCAAGAAAACCATCCCTTATAAAGGCTGGCCAGCCGCCTGGGACGTGTTACCCTATGAATGGCTTCAGCTCCTCAGGCCAAATGAGCCACGGGATAGGCAGAGATCAAAGGAATGGAGATTACCCAGTGCCTGTGAAGTAATTTACATCTTGGTGTCTTCAGGCACCATTATTGTAATGGATAATGCAGGAATCGGCTCCCTACACTGGGGTTCCCTGGACATGAGAGTTCTGACTGAGGGGTGAGGGATCACTCATTGTTATAGAATGCTATGGTCATTTCTACCTTGAAATCAAAGCAACTGTGACCACCCATATTTGACTCTCACAAGACTGACAGGCCCACTAATAATCCCTCATGTGAGTAAGGCTCACAGAAGGGGCACCTGACCCCTCTACTTCCTGATAATATGTAAGCAGTTGACAGTAGTTGGAGGGAAGAGACTGTTTGGTAGCGTAGTTGTCACCTGCAAGTTGCCTGTGTCCCTGTAAGTAACTCCTCACTGTTGTTCCATTGTTCCTTGTAAGTGGTTCCAGTTGTACTAGGCTAGATTTGGGTGGACTGGTTTCTTTGGTCTGTCACTGATGTCCCATCTGAGGAGAATAGACATTTGCTCATCTCTCTGGAAAGTTAATGCAGTGCTGTTGAGAGGCTAATCTCATCTCTGTTAATTGAGGACATTAAAAGCTGACCAATTAAGACACAGTCCCTACTCTATTGAACTCACTGCCAGATGAGACAGTCAAAACTTGATGGGATCAAAGCCACAGCTGAATATTGAGCCTGTGAGAACAGAGAGAAATGACCCCCTTTGCCTTGCTCCTCAGAACATTCGAGGCCTGAAGAGCAACAGGCTTCATCACTCAGGCAAGTCACTCCACCTTCTTGGGTAGGTTCATTCACATGTGCACAGTAACTGACTTTTGGATGCCAAGAGCCTTCCTAAGGTAAAAGATACACTGTGCCTATGATGGATTTTGCCACAGGAAGTGTCTGGGTTTTTTTTTTTTTTCTTTTTTCCCAATATTCTTTACCAAGCCAGGGCCTGAAAAATGTTAGGCTAAGGCCCCTCCTTCTCCTGGGGCTGTGTCAGCAGGGAGTGTGCAATCCTGTGCTTTCCTCGGGACTTTAAAGATAAGGAAATACCAACCATTGGCACACTGTGGAGCATGGTCAGAATCTGGGTGGGAGTCTGCTCTAACACTCGTCTCTCATTAAATGAATCCCTACAGTCATGGCACAGATTCCTCCTGGTTACAAAGCATTGCAACTTACTGGAGACCCAAAGATAAATAAGACAGTTTCTACCCAGCAGGATTTGAGCCTGCCTACATGGCAGACACACAGCCAGCGACTATGACTCTGTTTGGCCTGCACAGAAAAGGGAGCAATTAAATTGGCCACAGAGGAGGTGACACTTTGGCCGAGCTCTTGTAAGCCCTGCCCAAGTTAGTGTGATGGTCCCCTTAGGGGATATTAGGAGACACAAGGATTCTATTTAATATATTCTATATCCAGTTTGACAAATGGCATTCCTGCCATATGTCTGCAAGATGAATATGCCTCCAAAATGCTATCTCAAAGCCATTAGGAAGTAAACACATTGACAAATCCCATCCTGTCTCGTACCTCAAGACTACAATGGCATGTTCAGTTACAGTAGAATCAGAATCAGGCTTCCAGGGTTTAAGTATCAGGCATATTTGAGGGCACCTTTTATACCATCCCCCTCTCTCTAACACTTGCACGAATTCAAGTTGGATGTTGCTGCATGCAGGGAGTGTCTTGTTTACTTCTTTGAACTATAAACAGCTGAGAGGAACAGGAATGTCTGTCTTGTTGGCATTTACTGTTCTTATAGGAAAATTAAAGTCTCTAAAAGACACAGTTCCGTGAGCCAATTAAACCTTGTCTTTGCTTTGTTAAACTTGCACAAAACATATGGCCATGATTCCAATAGCTATTGTTCATTCAGAGCAGCAGCTAAGAAACCCAGGTTTGAATGTTTGAAAAGAAAAAACAGACCCAACATCTTGGCAATAAGTGTGTATTTCCATTTCATTTTCATGTTTTATCTCTAGCCAGTGCTGTTTTGGGTGTTACATTACATTCTTGATGGAGAGTATTTGTGGAAAATGTGAAATATGGGCTGATTCCATGAAATAATTACTCTTTGTGCTCTTGGTGACACCATCCCTGTTTCTAGGAGACAAATGGTGTTGTAAGGACCTCAGTGTCTTTGAGGTGACTTAGCTCATTGGTGACCCCTGGTATGCCTCCACATGGCTACAAATGGAAATAGATGGCGGTGACCTCTGGAACATGCCTTGACCAAGGATGAGGCATTTGTTCAGGGATATTTCTTTGAAGGCCCAGAACAT